TAGTACTAATTATGCCAACTTTGATTAGGATGAGGTTCGAACCTAAGATCTTTTTTTATTGAAATCAATGAGTAAGTTAACGATGAACTAACGGCAATTCTTAAAATTTTAACGGAATTAGTAACGGTGTGTGGGTATTTTAGGAAATTTTAATGTAAAATTTAAATCTGATCAATCTTTTAATCAATCTGAGCCATTCATTTGATTAAAATCTGTGACCGCCATTTTTTCTACCCATTATAGGCCTAACTCTCTTGGGCTCTTATTAGTATAGTAGATTAGTATAGTATATATATATATATATATATATATATATATATATATATATATATATATATATATATAGGAGATGGATCAGGTGAGAACCATATGCCCATAAGAGAACTGAAAACCAATCACAGTCGTCCACATGTTCAAATGTAACGGATCATGTGAAAATTCTAAGGATGTTAGATGTAACACTAGTATTTCTAAGGTTTATTGGCTGGAAAAAAAAAAATCCTTGAATACTTATGTATTGTGTGTGATAGTTGTATCTAAAATTTTTAAAAATTGTAAAAGAATAATAATAAATAAATAAAATAAAATTAATCCATTATATTTTGTGACAATTATACCAAATAATGAATAGTAAAAATATTAAAACCTTTAAAATTTTAAAATTAATTAATATCAAACAATTGTATTTTATAGTAATAATAATTTCCAATTCAATCTAAGTACATACCCCAACTTTCTTAAGTTGCGCACAATTATTTAAAAATTGTTAATATTTTTTTTTGAAGATATAACCTCATTTTTAAATCTTAATAAATATATCAAAATATTTATTTTTTGCAACTAAAATTTTGAAATTAAAATCTTCAAAAAAATAAAAAAAACAGTGTACATATATATAAGTATGTTCAAATATTATAAGTATCAATTAATATGTAAATGCTCGCATTGGCAACTGAGTTGGTCAAATAAGTGAAGTTTGGGAAGAATTAATACCTAAATAAATATAATTTATTTATTTTTAAGATTAGATACATTAATTAGATAATATTGTCACAAAACACAAAGGTTTAATTTTTTCCAACAAATTTTAAATTGTGTATAATTATCATAAAGACATAAAAGTTTAGATTTTTTTCTTCACCAATAAACCTATTTCTAAGTGCAAACGTTTGAAATAATCCTTGATTTAGTTCTTGACTATACTAACATATTTTTAAATTTAATTTTATAAAATAAGTTGGAGTTAATTATTAATAAAAAAATTAAACTAAAAAGTATTACCAAAATAGTTGAGAACTAAATAAGGAATTAAATCCAACTTAATTTATAGCTTGACATGCTCCCATATTAGAATGTATGGATTAAAATTTCATTGCAAAATACATAGTTGATGAGAATCAGGTTACAACACGGATGGGGTATTCCTCAGCTTCCACAACAACAAAATACTTGCCTCTTTCAATCACCATTGAACCATCTTTACTAGCCTTGCTGAAATGCTTACTCTAGGCAGAATACATCATATGATGTCGTAATGGCTATGCCAACTCTGGGCAAAAAATAACAATTATAAGGTTAGATTCAAGAGGATAATAAATAGTGCAATCTAATCATATATGTTTATTTAACTAAAAGAAACGAAATTGAGATTTCATTAGTTTTTTTAATCAAGTAATGCACATCGTACCACATCTAAGGATAGATAGACAGACTTTAGTAGTTTACATTTTATTTTTTAAAATAATATAGGAAGTAATGTGGTGGCGGGAGACATTGCCGTAATAATAGTAATAATAATAGTAATAGTAATAGTAATAGTAATAGTAATAATAGTACTAATAATAGTAGTACTAATAATAGTAGTAATAATAGTAGTAATAATAGTAATAGTAATAGTAATAGTAGTACTAATAATAGTAGTAATAGTAATAGTAGTACTAATAATAGTAGTAGTAATAATAATAATAATAATAATAATAATAATAATAATAATAATAATAATAATAATAATAATAATAATAATAATAATAATAATAATAATAATAATAATAATAATAGTAATAATAGTAATAATAATAATAATAATAATAATAATAATAATAATAATAATAATAATAATAATAATTGTTGGTTTTAAGGTTTTTGGGCCCAGGGAGGTCCTACACAATCATGGTTGGTGGATTTACCGTTCACAATGCGGCTTATAGAAAAATATGTAGAAAAAATATAACTCAATGCTTTTGTACGTGGAAACCGAAAGGTGAAAACCACAGGCCTTTTTTGGGAGGTGCCAAGCCTAACTCCACTATTCTGTAGGATTGTTTGTACAAGTTGTATGGCTATTTTGTATATGTGATGTTGTGTAGAGATAGAGCTACAATACTTTCTTCTTCATGCGTGGAAGAGTGGTGGAGTCTTCTCATATGGAGTTTTCTTCACGTGGTCTTCTTGCTTAGATGAGTGGTTGTGGGAGAGTGACATGCCTCTCTATGGGGGAAAGAATAGTAATTGGTCTTCTAGTGTGTAGGAATAGTGCTTGGGAGAGTCCTCCCATGTGTGGATGAATGAATGGAATCCCCTTCCTTGTGCTCTTCTTCTCCTTCTTATAGCTAGCTCATCCAAAAGTGTCCGTTGGGGGGTAATTAGTAGGCTTTATGATAGCTTAATTTGGGTAGTAAGTAGGAGTTTATGTGGGGTTATGGATAATAATAATTATTATTAGGTAATTGACTAGTGGTAATAAGTGGGGTAATAATAGGGTAGTAAATACGTTTCATGGGTTTAACGGCTAGTTTAGGCCGACCTTCTACCCGAGCCGACCTCTCGGTTTGGTCCATATCTATTTTTGGGCTTGCTCCATTTTCTTCTTGGGCTTCTTTTCTTCTTCTGGGCTTGATCCCTTTTCTTCTTGGGCCCCGAGCCCACCAGGTTCACACCCCATCAACTAGTCCCTCACTTTTCAATATTGAGCCCTCTCTAGCTCGAATATTGGAAAGTATTTGCCTTCTCCCTGCAGATTGCTTGAATCGTGTGATCTCCTTGATTTCATCCTCATGGCTCCTCTTTGCTATATAACTGAATGCTTCAGTGGAGGGGACCCTCTGACTTTGAGCCCCTTTTTCTTCATCCGTCGAATTGACTCTCAGCTATCACTTTTCTTTCCTTGATAAACTTCTAAGGGTTTGGACCCTTGATTCTCTCTTCATTCGCCCGAGTTCCTCAGTCGAGGCGACCCCTGTAGGCTTTTTCTATCTCAGAAACAGTTTAGGGTCAGTGCCCCGTCGTTTCTCTCTTTTCTCGCTGAGTCCCTCAGTCGAGGCGACTCCTTAGGTTTTTTTCTATCTCGGAAACGTTTAGGGTCTGTGCCCTGTTGTTTCTCTCTTTTCTTGCCGAGTCCCTCAGTCGAGGCGACTCCTTAGGTTTTTTTCTATCTCAGAAACGTTTAGGGTCTGTGCCTTGTTGTTTCTCTCTTTTCTTTCCGAGTCCCTCAGTCGAGGCAACTCCTTAGGCTTTTTCTATCTCAGAAACAGTTTAGGGTCAGTGCCCCGTCGTTTCTCTCTTTTCTTCCCGAGTCCCTCAGTCGAGGCGACCCCTGTAGGTTTTTTCTCAGAAACATCTAAGGGGTCAGTGCCCTTGTTTCCTTCTCTTCTTGCCGAGTCCCTCTGTCGAGGCGACCCTTTGGGTTTTTTTCTATCTCAGAAACAGTTTAGGGTTAGTGCCCCGCCGTTTCTCTCTTTTCTTGCCGAGTCCCTCAATCGAGGCGACCCTTGTAGGCTTTTTCTCAGAAACATCTAAGGGTTAGTGCCCTTGTTTCCTTCTCTTCTTTCCAAGTCCCTCTGTCGAGGCGACCCTTTGGGCTTTTTCTATCTCAGAAACAGTTTAGGGCCAATGCCCCGTCGTTTCTCTCTTTTCTTGCCGAGTCCCTCAGTCGAGGCGACCCCTGTAGGCTCTTTCTCAGAAACATCTAAGGGTCAGTGCCCTTGTTTCCTTCTCTTCTTGCCGAGTCCCTCTGTCGAGGCGACCCTTTGGGCTTTTTCTATCTCAGAAACAGTTTAGGGTCAGTACCCCGTCGTTTATCTCTTTTCTTGCCGAGTCCCTGCTCTAGGCGGCTCCTGGCTATGATTCTTCCTTTCCTAGTAAACTTCTTGGACTCTTGATTCTTTCTTTACTAACTCGAGTCCTCTAGTCGGGCTGACACTCGGTTGTAGCTTTACTTTTTCTTCCCTTCATATAGTCCATTGTAGATGAGAAATTCAATGAACAACTTTTTGGAATGCATTTTCTTGCCACGCCCCGAATATATCCAAGTCTGTTGTGCGGCACATGTGACTGGAAATTAAACTCGCCATACGTAGAAAAATCCATCCTCCAAACTCCCCTCTTTTAATTTGTCTTATATGCCTTTTCTTTCACAGAATTTTCACTGAATTTTGAGTTTCTTCCCGTCTGACTGAGTCCCTCAGTCAAATATTTGTGCAAGATACACCCCTTATGGGCTTCATCGGCCCATCTATACAAACGATCAAGCATTTTTCTACTGCCCAGCAGCTCATTTCCTCAATATCAAATCTTTCCAGCCAATTCATACTCGAATTCCAGTAGCCAAACTCAGCCATTTTAATTTTGCAATCCTCCTCAAACGCATTTGTCAAATGCTAGATTTCACCATTGCCCCCATTCTGCCAGAATAAAAGTTGTGCGGTCATAGGACCACCGAGCTACGTGGGTCATCCCTACTCGGCCACTCCATATTACCATTAGCCATTTTTTCTTTTCCTTAAAACGCATGCCACATACTGCTATTGGAGACCAATATTTTTTTGTGTAGATTTGCTTTGATATAGGAAAATGTGCCACCCCCAAAATATTTATATGCTTTCCCCTAGAGCTTATGTTGAAACTTTCTGAAAAAATCGATCCTTAATTTCTAGAGAAGGAGCTGCATTTTGATCCAATACCTGAAGAGTCTCGTGGCAGGCGTTTGAGATGTTTATTCAAAATTTCGTTAAATTTCTTTTTCTTCGCTTTTCCCATCTCTCTCTCTCTCTCTCTCTCTCTCGCTCGCTCGCTCCTTGAGAATTCAATAAATGGAGTCCTGGCGTACGGCGAGGTAGACGCGGCGAATCTAAATCCGAGACCATCATTAGCTCTTCTCTACTGCGCCTATCTGAGATCAGCAGTCTTACCAAGCGGTGGCATGATCGACTGATCTTCCCCGGGTTTTCATTCGCGCAGCATTACTTGCCCGATTGGGCTTAGTTTCTGCCGTCCAATTATTTTAGCTTATCCGATAATAATCAGGGTGGCACGATACCTGACTCCGATACTTAGAACGCGAAAATCATGCCGACTCCACGTCCACTACTCACTGCTCTCACGGCGTGGAAGGGCTCTAGCATCGCTCGACTGGCAGGTGGAGTCCCCGACGACTGTTCGACGGTGTCGTTCGTGGTCGACGAGATGCGTTGTCGGCACTGTCCTTCGGTTCTAGACTTCAGGGAGTCTTCTATCCATGTTCAGGCAGCGAGTCGGTGGGCAGCTCCCAAGGCGGTCGATCACCGCGAAAATGGTGACGGCAATCGCCGGCTCCCTGAACTTGCATTTTTGCTGTAAAATTTGCAGACAGATCCATCTCGCCTTCAAGCTGATCACAAATACTCTTTGAAGCTCTTTCATTGCTGATTACGTCTCTCTCTTCTCCAGCTGGCCACGTACCTACTTCATACTCAGCAATAAGACACGGGCGAGTTAGTTAAAGGAGTCAGTCGGCGTTCTGGTCGGGCAGTTTGGCGGACGCGATTTCCAAGTCGATCAGATCATTTGAAGGATGCGGTGAGAGCCTTGGTCAAGTCAACCGATTCCAAGGAGTCGAATATAATGCCGACTCCGTGTGACGAGTCGAGTGCCGGTTGATCATTGCTTCTTCCCTGCCCTCCAATGGATGAAATTGGTTGTTACTGCAATGCTTTAAGCTTCTCCATAATCTTGTGATTTCTAGACTTAAAATTGCTGGGCTCGGCAGTGGTCTCGGGTTCGCGTACTAATGTCAGAAGTTTTCTCCTCTGGTCGGCCGTGACTGTGCATGACGTATTGCTTCCAGGTTGAGTGTTTCCCTCGACGGACTCGGCGGTGTGATCGTGAAGGCCTACATATGCAGCGAATCAGAAGACTCGACCTTTAATCGCGAGTGAGATTTGAGAACGAAGACTGAAGTCTGGAATAGCCAGCCGCATGCAGTCTGATGGTTTTTGGGTTTTCGGGCCCAAGGAGGTCCAACACAACCTTTAGCTGGAGGATACACCTTTCAATAAAAAGCTTGCTAAAATAATATGAGCTCGATGATTTTGACGTGGAAACCGAAAGGAAAACCACGGGCCTTTTTGGGCGGTGCCAAGCCTAACTCCACTATGTATTTTTTAGGTGTCTTTGTACATGTTTGTAGGGCTATCCCCTACACAAAGTGTTGTGTTTCTAATAATATAGCAATAATAATAGAAAGAAGAGTGATGGAATGGTGTGGAAGAGTCCTTCCATGTGTATGGATGAGTGGTGGAGCCTTCTTGGTATATTGTGGAATGAGGCCTTCTTAGGAGAGTAGTTGTGTGAGAGTGGTAGTAGTCTTCAAGTGTGTAGGAAGTGTGCTCTCATGTGTGAATGAATGATTGGCGTGGGAGGAGTATCCTTTATTTTGTGATGTGGAGTGGTGCCTTTTTCCATGCTCAAGCCCCCCCTTGATCTTGCTGCCTTCCCCCTTTTATAGCTAAATGGGTTTAGAGACGTTAGGGGGTATTTAGTAGGAATTATGGGTATTAAATTGGGGGTTAGGATGAGGTAGTTTGAATAGGATATTTACTTTTGGGGGTTATGGATATTAAGTTGGGTAGTGATGGGATAGTAATGAGGTAGGTAATTAGGAGTTTAATAGGGTAGTAAATGGGTTAACGGCTAGTTTAGGCCGACTCCTTACTTGTGCCGACTTCCGGGTCGAGCCGACTCCTCGGTTTGACTCGTATTTCTTTTGGGCTTACTCTATTTTCTTCTTGGGCTTGATCTCTTTTTTTCTTGGGCCCCGAGCCCACGGGGTTCACACCCCCATCACAGTCGGTGATAGGAATGGTCTGTCCATTTTCTTCATTCCTCTATCTGCCGAAAAGTGGCCGACTATGCATTTGTAATCTGGAAGATCCAAGGACTTCCAAACAATTGATCTAGAAATCCAGAAAACAAGTTTCTCTACTCCACCTTCTTGACTTGCAGTATACTCCTCCTATTTGACTTGCAATAACGAGAAAATGGTCATCGCACAATATGAGTTTTACTTGGTAATGGAAAAACGGGTGATGAAGTATTGTGATCGCTTCACTCGGTATCAACTACGACTAAGTGCTCGTCTCGCTTGCCACTTCTGCATGGATCTCCCAGGGGTCGGGCGGCGATTTGGGAGAGACTTCAGCTGATTGAGAAACATGCGGCGGTCGACAAAGATGGTGTCGACGCGAGATTGAACTTACCAAATCGTGCAGTGCACAGACTTACGTGGACTCAATGGACTCCGCGGATATTGGCGGGCTTTCGCCACTGTAACCGTAGCTATTGACGATCTTCTCTGTCGGTCTGAATTGTCGGGATCATCGCCATCTTTCTTTTCTTCTTCCCAAAAGAGCACGTCTATGAAGCGGAAATTTTCACCCAATTTTGATCAACGGACGCTGGAAGAATCTTGGGAGGATAATGACGGCACTACGGCAGCAGCATGTTAGTTTTGTCTTTCGGGTAGCCAAATATTCCGAGCAGTGCAAGCAGTCAACCCTCTGTGATGTAGGATTCATCAATCTTCTCATTTTCGTCACGTGGTGATCTCATGTCGGTTCACCAATATTCTGGCATTTTTCCTTCTGCATATATTTTAACCGACTGCTTTTCTCGCTTCTGACTGGACGGCGTAGAAGTCAGCACTCGTAGGAGCGCACATGAAGTTGAAGGTGATACATTCCTGTTCTCTGAATATGCCACGCAGGAGCATGTAATTTTGACCACAAAAATTTTGGCCTTCAATTATATTTCCCTTCGAATGTCGCAACTGCTATGAATTTTTCTTTTTTTTTTTTTGACTTGATTTCCTACTTGCAATTAATATTTTCTGAGCTCAATCATGAATCTGCTCCAAACTTTCACTTATTGAGGAATTATAATTTGATCCATTTAGTGGTGTGTATCTTCCCACTTTGATTTCCACCTGTGGATGTTTGCTAGAATACCCCAAGACCCTCCACATGCAAGAAGTGTCTTGAAATAATCCAATTAGCTGGACTACCCCCTTGGCGCTCACCCAAGCATGGCCACATACGTATAACATGCATGTAAATGAATACCAAACTTTCTCTAACAATGGACCATCCAAAATATTTCTGTGCCTTGAAAGGATAACTTTGAATTCGAATATCAATATTTTCATTTATGGACGTACCCTCGTATGGCAGTTCGCGGTAGTCGCCGCTTCCTTAGCATCGTCCGAGTCCAAGTCCGGATTGCTTCCTTCTTACTCAATGTTTGGTTCCCTTCCTTACCATGAAAGCAGTCGGCGAACGCGTCGAGGGTGTCCGGAAGCATGTGTACGAGCGAGGTGGAGAGGGTGTTTTTCGCCGATTGTTAACTTGCTGACTGAGATACTTATTGGCTGACTGACAAGCTATATACTCTTCTTGCCGTGGAAATTTATAAAAGACGTTTCCAGAGTTCCTGAGGCTCTCCCCATTTAATTGTTACGCACTGGGTGCCTTTTTCGTATGCGAATTTTCCTTGGCTTTCATTTTGTTAGTGTTTTAATTGTTTAAAAACCCCAACTTATAATTGGCAATATTATTATGGCTTACTAAGATAGGTTTAGGGTTTGTCCGTCCAGCTCTACAGATGACTGATCAATCAGAAGCAACAACAGAAGGACTGACACTGAAGATCTGTTTTAGGAAGCTGACTTCTAAAAGACTGTACGCGGCATTACAGAAGTCAGATTTGGAAAGAAGATCAGCGTATCTGCTTTTGAAAGGTATGAGCCAAATCCTTAAGATTACGTTCTTCAAATATCGTCCTACCATCTACAATCAAATATGTCTATGGAAGGAGTGTTCTTTTGATGGAACTATAAGTATCCTCATTCGAAGAGAATTAGGGTTACGGTTTTGAGACAGAAGAAAATACTCTACATCAGTTTGATGAGATCAGATCTTTGATTATCATGCCTCTTCTCAATACAACATGTTCATGGTGATTAAGATGACGAACTTTTGAAGAATCACTGCTGCTTAAACGAAAGGACACTGTGATCACACTGTTGTGGGAACAACTGTAAAGAGCGTCATTGAAGTGGACTGTATCAGATTGGGCTCTCCAAGTGAAGGGATTTCATTGGACTTCTGTATGCACAGCTCTCCATCTTCATAAATCCACTAAACCTGTGTAGACTGGGTATGTACCTTGTGTGGGGCACTTGGGTAAGATTATTGTATATCTACCTTTGTACATCGGATTATGATTTAGTGGATTGGACGCCTATGTGATCATCCCCCTAACGTAGATACACACTGTATCGAACTGGGTAAACATTCTGTGTCGTTGGCTCTATGGTGTTATCTTTTCTTTAATCTTCACTGTGATTAGTTTTTACTGATTGAATTCATCGCTGAATCAGTCAGTCCACTTAGTCAGTTGATTAATCCAGTTAATTTGTTTAAAAAGAGAAAATGCAAAATTACATGTGGTATCAAAGCTTTTAAGTCTACATAGTGACTTGATCCGTACGGGTTGTTTTGTTTAGTTTTGCATTGTTCTATGTCTTTTGGAAGTGCCTCTGTGTGTGTTTGTTGGCTGGCTGTTTGTATTCAGGATGGATGCAAGTATGAAACCACCGGAACTAGATGGTCACAACTACTCTTTCTGGAAGGCTCGCATGGAGATATATCTCCAAGCACAAGGTACCAGGGTTTACGGTACTGTCCTAACTGGGTGGAGCCGTC